TCGTGTTTTAAGTCAGCAATTTCATTTTAGCACAATTCATTTACCAGAACATGTTCCAAATACCTTAATTCTTTCCAGAAATGTCTTCACTGATCCAAACAGCTTTTTTGTCATTATCACAGTCATATGCATAGGTCTCAGTTTGTAATATTCTTGTATACTCTCATCCAATATATTCTATAGTTTTTATGATATCTCTCAGTGATGTCTCTAATGCTACAACAAACAGTAATGGTTAGAAGGGACAATCTTGTCTAGTCCTTTTTTGTATTTCCATCAATCTTGTTGCATTGTCAACTAGGCCTTTTGAAGTGAATATATATTTTTTGCCAAAATAATATTTTCACCAAAGTCATTATTTCCAATTCTTGAAATAAATGATTCCCAGAAATATTATCATACTTTTTCTTTGAGATAGGTCTGTAATTATTTGATAATGTTTAATATGTGTTTTCTTTATAAACCACTGTAATGTAGGCATTTCTCCAAGAATCTGCCATCCACCATTTTTCTAAAAACTCATCATACACCATTTTTAATGTTTGAAGTAGTTAATCTCAAATTTCTATATGGAGAGACCATTTTGGACTTGGCACTTTTCCAGATTTAATCTTTTTAATTGCTTCGATATGTTCCATATTTGTCTTTGTGACATTTGTCCTTATCTTTTCTTTATTCCTTCCTGCCTTAACTTTTAGGAAAGCTACTCCCCAAGTTTATTTGTTAATTCAAAGCCCTTTTTGGCTTAAAGTTTGGCATTAATTTTTTGGACTGTAAACAATAAGGGCTGTTATTGGAGTAGCTTGATCTTTTGTTGAGACTCTGTACCCAGATTTTTATCATATTTGTTTTCCAAAATCTATATCATCCATGAACTCATTCACGTTTAGCTTCTTTTTTCTTTTTCTTTTTTTTCAATCTGGGACTGCATTATTATATGAAAGACTACTGTGGTGCTCATGACTGCTTCCATCAACTACAAAATCACATTGGATCGTAAGGCGTTTAGTTTTGCAGGCAAAACTTCTCAAGTTCATTCTCCAGTTGAAAGGGTCAGATACCAGTTGATGAGAAACACTCTGCCTCAAGACCGCAGAGAGCTGCTTCATGCCACAAGAGAGGATAAGAAGCTGAATGAGCAGCTGTGTAAGACAGCTTCTAATGGTGTCTTCAGCTTTGACTGCTACCAGGCAAGACTGATAACTGTAAACAAATAAATATGTATGCCTGTCCCATTAGAATATATCATCACTGACTGTTCAAGAGTAAAATTAATTTGGATTCTGTAAGACACTATGTAGTAGCAAAAGGTATGAATATTTTCTTTCTGATTGTTCTGGCTGGCTGCCAAATACGAATTGTTGTCTTGCATAGAGTAACTCATGAGAATTTCCTCAATACCGGAATGCCCAATGAGCATGCTAAGCACAGGATTCTGGTAGTCCAAAGGAGACAGTTTGCCATACTCTGGTAGAGGCTAATACATACATAGAAATGCAGGGATGGTAACAAGAGAGGCACCACAATTGAAGAGAGATATTGACAAACTGGAATGTGTCTAGAGGAGGGTGACTAAAATGATCAAGTGTTTGGAGAACAAGTTCCTATGAGGAGCGGCTTAAAGAGCTGGGCATGTTTAGCCTGAAGAAGAGAAGGCTGAGAGGAGACATGATAGCCATGTATAAATATGTGAGAGAAAGTCACAGGGAGGAGGGAGCGAACTTGTTTTCTGCTGCCCTGGAGACTAGGATGCGGAACAATGGCTTCAAACTACAAGAAAGGAGATTCCACCTGAACATTAGGAAGAACTTCCTGACTGTGAGAGCTGTTCAGCAGTGGAACTCTCTGCCCAAGAGTGTGGTAGAGGCTCCTTCTTTGGAAGCTCTTAAACAGAGGCTGAATGGCCACATGTCGGGGTGCTTTGAATTTTCCTGCAATTTTCCTGCTTCTTGGCAGGGGGTTGGAGTGGATGGCCCATGAGGTCTCTTCCAGCTCTATGATTCTATGTAGCCCTAGTTACATGGGAACTGCATACCTTTTAATAATGGAATTACAACTGGAAATAGGGATTAGAATAGGAAAAACAGAAAATGAAATCTCACCCCTTGCACTCTTTCAACACCCTGGGCTTTTCTAGACAGCCCTTATTTTCCTATGACATCGTGTTCAATTTTTTTCTCTGTAAGTGTGCTTTAAAGAAATAAAAGTCTCTTTGTTACGATTTCCATTCAAACTACCACATATGGATTCCAAACTATTTTAGTATGTGCCATTGAAGTAATTTCTTACAGCCGGAAATCAATACTGGATGAAGAAAGATAGAAAGGCAGATGTCTCAGGCTTATCTCATTATCAGTTACTTAACATAGTGGGTTGTTGTAGGTTTTTCGGGCTGTATGCCCATGTTCTAGAAGCATACATACAGCCCGAAAAATCTACAACAACTCAGTGATTCTGGCCATGAAAGCCTTCGCCAATACACTTAACATAGTATTTAAACATATCTCTATGCTTTCTAAAAATTGTATGTTTGTACATTAACAGAGCAAGATGTGGGTGGATTTTGTGCATGTGGAGGCAATTTATATCTTACTTTAGAATATTGTGATTTGTGTATAATGTATTTTATTTCTTTACAATGTTTATATACCCTGCCTTTCCACACTGTTTAAAAGCAGATATATAGGCTGCTGCTTTATGTATACTCATATAGTTTGACTTTTATTATTAGATTGCAAAAAACCACAGTACTTATTCCTAAGGGAGAACTTTACACTGCACAAATTGGTGAAATATCCACTTACGAATGAAATTGACATGGTAAATGGGAAACCACTATATTGACAAGAACAACTTGGTATTTTATTGCAGAAATGTTCAAGAAGTCAATGAAGATTGTTTAAATTAACTGAATAGGTAATTGGTGGCTAGCCATTTAAAATCAGGATGGGCAAAGAGTCGCTTTCCAGATAATGTTGGGATTCAATTCCCATTAGCTAGGACTGCTGTGAGTTGCTATCCAGCAATAGTAGCTTTCCACTATTGTTTGATGAGCGCTGTTTTAATTTAGCGTTAGTTGTTGTTTATATGCCTATATGTTTTATTTAATTGTATTTTAAAATTGTTTTTATTTTATGTTCTATTTTTAGACACCTTGTGCCATGTGTAAGCCGCCCCAAGTCCCTTCGGGAAGGTGGTGGCGGGACACAAGAATAAAGTTGTTGTTGTTGTTATTGTTATTTTATTTATCTCATTTATACTTGACCTTTCTCTGCGGCTTATGAATGACACCAACAGAGTGCCTCAAAACATATATTGCATTCCAACAATATAATTCACCTAAAAATGGTTTGGATTATAAATTACGACATAATAAACATGATTAAAATACATTCAAGGTTAAATAAAACATGCCATCCAGAGTTCAAAGTCTGAGGCCATTCATGGTCAACTGCAATTATTCCACATCGTCATCATTATATTGGTAAAGCCACATTTTGCTCACACATTTAAAATGGAAATGTTTTTCTCCGTGACACCAAAGTTTGATAAAGTTGATACTTTACTGTCTGTCAGTGTTATTGTATTTAATGCTGTACTGCCACCATCAGAATCTTATTGGGATCTTTTCTTGTGAAGCAAAGACTATATATATTATGTTTTATTGGATTTTCCTCCCCAAATGTAATAACAGCAATATGGTACCAGAATGATAAAATGTGGCAATTCCTTTCTGTGTAATGTCTCACTAGTGGTGTTTCTACTGTACTCAGGACTAACATAGAAGCACGGATCAATCCCTTTAGCTACTGATTAGTAAACAGTACAGTCCTAATATCAACCTGGAAGCCAAGTAGCCTCATCTAGCCTTGGTGTAAAGTAAGATATTTGTTTTATCTTGTAAACTGCTAGGCAACAGTGCTGAATATAAATAATGACCTCTAGTGCATTCAGTTTATATTGGCATCTATTATAAAAGATTAATAATTTTTCATTGTGCTAGCTGTTGATTATAATTAGTCCTAGTAGCAAGGAGAGTATGGCAGGAAAGAGAGTGAACTAGTCTCAATATACTGTATATGAATCACAGTTCTTCTCTTAAGAGTTGATATCAGATATTGGTCAGACTATGAGATATATTTAAAGGAGACCAGTTAAAGTCAACTGGCCTTTAGGCTGAATTACCACTGGTTTAGCGGATTTACTGTCTACAAAACTATTTTATTTAAAAATGTTAACATAAATAGTTAGGCTATCCACATTTATTTATTTACTACATTTTTACCTCGCCTTTCTCATCCGAGGGGACTCAAGGCAGCTTACGCTTCTGGTAAGAATTCAATGCCAGTAAAAATGCCAGTAAAAACCAACAATAAACAGGAAAAACATATCCCACAGTTAATCAATAAAACACATACAACAGTATACAAATTTAAAACATATAACCTTGCTCAAATCCTTAATTCAGACTGTGTCAAAACCCTTAGCAACTTATTCTTGGAACCCTTGTGTGCAAGGCCAAGTCTTTACCTTTTTTCTGAATGCCAGAAGTAATGGAGCCTGCCTGATGTCGTTGGGGAGGGAGTTCCAGAGCCAGGGAGCCGCCACTGTGAAGGCCCTGTCTCTCTTCCCCACCAATCATGCTTGCGAAGAAGATGGGACTCAGAGCAGGGCTTCCCCAGACTATCTTAAAGTTCTAGTAGGCTCATAGGAGGAGATGCTTTCTGACAGATAAGTTGGACCATACAACTCTCTCCAGCAAAGAGACAGAAGCATCAATGTGTAGATCCTCTGGATTGTTTCTTGTATTTGAGAAAAAGCTGGCATTTCTTACAGCCCCTGGATCATGAATAACCAATGCTTTTAGGCTTCGTGCTGATGTTCACTTATTTGGACACACTGGATTAAAAGTGAGATGAATATGTCAAAGAATATATTCTGCTTGACTACATTAAAGTTGCACACTAAAAACAATTGGGCGCTATTGTTTTTTTTCTTAGATGGCTTCCGTAACAGATGCCAGATATGGACACAAGGATGCTTCCGACCAGAATTTTGATTACATGTTCAAACTCCTGATCATTGGCAACAGCAGTGTGGGCAAGACGTCCTTCCTCTTTAGATATGCAGATGACACATTCACGCCGGCCTTTGTCAGTACAGTGGGAATTGATTTCAAAGTGAAAACTGTTTACAGGAATGACAAAAGAGTAAAACTACAGATCTGGGTAAGTACGCGATTCTTTAATTTTTTACCCTGTGTACAGATGGGGTCTGTATCATTTCCAGATCACTGCAAGAGTATTATTTGCAAGAGATTTGTTTTCTTGCTTTCTGTTTCAGCAGAATTTTTCTTTATTCCTTACCTTTGAAATTTTAACATCCTCTTTAAAGACAAGGGATAGATAACACATAGCCTTAAAGTGCTTTTGGACTTCTATTATTGCACTATAAGTCCCAGCCACCTCAACTAGAATAGACATTTTTAGTTTATGATGGAAGTTGCAGTGCATTCATACTAGAGAGTTGTGCCTTTCCATTCGTACTAATGTCTGTAGCTGAAACTATTTTTATTGCACTCTCCTATTTACTGAGATTTTCTGTGACCATTGTTGCTGAGTTCCTTCTTACATATTAAGGGATCTTTTTAATACAGTACTTCCATGCACTTTTCTCTGCAGTAATGGTCCTGAGTTCAGTCACAATTTAAAAGACCATTTACAGGGCAGCACTCTCAGTCTGTTGCAGTCCACTGTTTTATTTACTGTTCTCCTCTGTTTTTCCAGGCATCATTTCTGCTGATTTTTCTCCCCTGATAAAATACAATTGCAATGCCAGCCTGTATGGTGAGAAAAGGCAAAGCACAATTAAACATGTAGAAGTCCTATTCATTTAAACAAACATTTCATATTTGCAGATTCAGTTTATTTTATATTATTTAATGTTAGTCCTAGCTGAGTGAACTAGTGATAAATAGCCTCTAACTAAGCACCTTTCTGAATGACCTTTTGTCAGTTTCTGATGCCATGATGGTGTGTGGGAGGTTTTAATTAATAATTTTCTATGGGCAACTAGCCCGTAAATCAAAATGAAATTGTAGAATTGTGCTACCAATATACCATAATGCATGATGGCATCACTATACCTCCTGATCACTCTACAGACCTATTTTAATATATAACTTCCTTAGACAGTTATTTATTTTTTATTTTTTATTTATTACGATATTTATATGCTGCCCTTCTCACCCTGAAGGGGACTCAGAGCGGCTTGCAAGTCATATGTACGTGCAACATACTATATTATCAGCATAGTACTAATACATCATTCATAATATTAGTATTATGTAATATTATATTGTTTCCGGGGTAGGGGTTCTGATGTCAGAGGAGACAAGATGGAACTGTCTTCTCGGCTCGGCTCAATTGCAGTTGAGTAAGGGTAAGATTTAGAAAGAAGTAGCCCTTCATGTGTTAAGAAGTCTACTTGGAGGGGGTCCTGTGTGCCATGGAGATCCATGCTATGTGTCCAGAGATTGCGAAAGGAAGTTGCTCAAGGTGTTCTTGCTGGCATTATCAGGTACAAGGTCCCCAGATGTGGTGCTCCAGATCCTGGACAGGGTAGGCAATAGGTGGATTTGCTTCCATTGGATCCCAAGACTTCCCAGGAGAGTTCACAGGGCCAGAAACTTCCCTCTATTCAGTGGTTCTCAACCTGTGCGTTCCCAGATGTTTTGGCCTTCAACTCCCAGAAATCTTAACAGCTGGTAAACTAGCTGGGATTTCTGGGAGTTGTAGGCCAAAACACCTGGGGGCCCACAGGTTGAGAACCACTGCTATGGTAATTTGGAAGTGATTCACATAAATGATCCCTGAAGAGGGGGAAGTACAGTGGGCTCTTGGTATGTACTGCTGTTTGCTTCCTGGACCCCCACCCCACCCCGATACCAAAATTTGGGTATATTCAAGTCTCATTATATTCAGTGACATAGTGTTTCTTATACAAAATAGCAAAATCAAGATTTGCTTTTTGGAATTAAAAAAAAACATTTTTCAAGCCATGGATGTTTGCACCCATGGATGCAGAATCGGTGGATACGGAGGGCTGACTGTGCACAGGAGCCACTATTGGATAGATAAGTGCAGCATTGTGTATACAAATCCATGCAAACTTCCCATCCTGGCATAAACATAGGGGGCTCTTAAAGTTGGCAGAAGATCTGCTCCTTTAACCCCCTATCTGACTCTGTCCAGTATTTACAGTGTATCATTTTGAACATGTTGAATTTCAGTGGAACTATGACTAATGCAATTAGGAGGAAATTTTGTTTCACAGCTTTAGAAGCTGCAGTGCTATTAGCTGAAAGTGTTCTAAACCTGTAGTTCTGAAACATTAAAAAAATAAAATTCACCAATACCTATCAGGTGTTCCATTATTCATACTTTTACTATGCATTATTTCTTATTTAACATAATTCCATTTAGTTTCTCTTCCCACTGAAAGAAATTACAGTTCAAATTTCAAAAGATCAGAGAAAAATATCTATATATTGTAAAGCCAACCACATTGCTTTCAAGGCACCTACTTCTATTAGCCAAGTGGTTCTTAACCTGTGGGCCCCAGACCACCAGTGGGCTGCGAGAATGAAAATCTGGCCCACAAAACCTCCTTCCTCTTAGTTTATTTTATTTTATTTCAATTTCTTTTGTGCCGCCTGCCACTCCTTCCCTGTTGCTAACCAGCCTTGACTCCTTGGATAGAGCATATTAGCTCTAGATTATTACATATGGTTTTCTATGGGCAAGCAGATAGCAACTACCGGATGACATATGTTTTGTATTAGAAACTAGAGCTGATGAGGTCTATCCAATGCAATTTTCTGAATCAACACCCCAAATAATCAAGTCAAATCTAAAGTTGACCAAAAACTGATTCGTAACCCTTTTGGTACTAATGTTGGAGAGCGGTCCCTGGTCAGGTAGTCCCTGGTCAAAAAAAGTTGGGAACCACTGTATTATCCACAGTTCTTTTTAGCATCAGGTTCATTAAAGAGAATATTTACAATGTCATTTCTAAATAAAGAAATTATATAAGACTTTAATTACTCCTGGTAGCTATAAAGCAATGATTCCCAATCTGTGGTTGTGCTGTCGCACGCTGGGCCTGTACATTAGACTGTAGACAGGACATAAATTCTGTGTGCCCAACGGGACGCCGGGGCTGCCTCAGATTAAAGGCCCTTAGATTCCCCCAAACAGAGTCTTTAGATGCTTAAAGTAAATCCAACAAAGTTCTTTATTGATGAAAACAAACAGAAATTGTATTAACAGTCTATAGGCTCTTTCAATCTTGTCCACAGGGAACAGGCACTATCTTCTTAACTGTAACTAATGGGGAAATCCTTAACTTCTAATCTGGGCAGTCTGTACTTGCCTCTGTTGACGTGGAGCCCCTGCACCCGGTACCAACTGCGTCTGGCTTCCGCGAGTGACCCTTGCCTCAACAGAGCTTTGTAGACCTCCAGGGAAAAAGAAGGAGTTCAGGTTGCTGTGATGGCCGGCTGGAGTCCCTCAGCCAAGCTGTGGCTGTATGTCTCCTGGCCAAGCCGTAGGGCTGTATAACCCCGGCCAAGCTGTAGGGCTGTATAACCCCGGCCAAGCTGTAAAAGACGAAGCTTTTCTACAGGAGCCACTTCGTTCTATGTCCTGTGTGAAAGGCTTCTCTGTGAGAACTAACTCAAAATGGCTTTTTTCCCTCCAAAACTCAAAAAGGGGCGGGATCAGGGAACCTAACTATAACTGGCAGGTGGCTTACCCTATAAATGCAAATTATAACAGGAAACCCCCTGCTGCAAAATCCCAAGCATGGGATTGCACACAAACATTTAAACACAGCAAATAAATCTGGAGCTCCTGGAACAGCTGTTCCAGAACAGTGGTCCTTGGACCAACAGTGGTCCGCAACAACTAAAATATGGTCTGTGGCCTCATCATTACTAAACCGTTGTAATGAGAGCGACTAGTTTCACAAAACCCTCTTATAGTGTGAAGGCCTATTAAATATTATATATTTATTTAAAACATTTATATTTTGCCCTTCTCACCCTGCAGAGGACTCAGGGCGGAGCACAACATATATACAGTAAACATTCAATGCCGGGACATAAAACCATAAATGTATACAAATATTAAAATCACTTATATCCACTTTAAAACCAGTTGCTTAAAAACTATCTAAGGACATCATTCTATTATATGGTTTTATGTGGGTGAGCACATGGCGGCTACTGTATGGCATATGTTCTGTATCAGAAACTAGAGCTGATGTGGTCTATTCAATGCAATATTCTGAATCAGCACCCCCAAATAACCAAACTGAATCTAAAGTTGACTAAAAACTGATTCATAACCCTTTTGATACTAATGTTGCATACTGGTTCCTGGTCAAGTGGTCCCTGGTCAAAAAAGGTTGGGAATTACTGCTATTGAGGTTAATATGTGTGATGAAGCATACGAGAAGGGGGCTAGAGCGCAAATGGAGGAAATCTCGGGACGTCTCTGATCGAGCACGGGCTAAAGCCTCTCTTAAGGCATACTCCGTGGCTATACGGGTGGCCAGGAAATCATTCACGACCACCCATATAGCGTCTGCAGCAAATAGATCATCGGAGCTGTTTCGGGTCGTGGGAGAACTCCTCCACCCACCTGTGGTGGAGGAGGTCACTGATGACCCAGCAGCTCGGTGTCGCGATTTCGCACACCATTTTGCAGGTAAAGTCGCCCAGATACACCTTGAGCTCGACTCCAATTTCATCGCAGTGCCAGAAGAGGTGACGGAGGCATCTGCTTGTCCAAATTTGTGGGATTCTTTTAGGCTTGTTCTTCCTGAAACCGTAGAGGAGGTTCTTGGGGCTGTGAGGGCGACCACCTCACCTCTAGACCCATGCCCATCTTGGCTCATTAAATCAGCCAGGGAGGGGTTGGTTGATTGGTTTGTGTTGATTATCAATGCATCGTTGGAGCAAGGGATTTTTCCATCTAATTTGAAACAGGCTGTGGTTCGTCCACTCCTCAAAAAGGCTTCCCTTGACTCCACGGTGCTGAGCAATTACAGGCCAATCTCTAACCTCCCTTTTTTGGGTAAGGTGCTGGAGCGGGTGGTCGCCTCCCAGCTCCAGAGCTTCCTGGACGATACCAACTACCTAGATCAGTCACAGTCTGGTTTCAGG